GACTCCGAATGAAGCACAACTTCATGTCATACAATACAATGACTTTATTTGTAATTGTGTAAAAAAATATGAGCATTGATTAGCAAGCAGGACCTGCAGGAACAGAGAATGGTGATGGATGGAGCTGGGAAGAGAGAAGAATAAAGAAAACAGATCAACTTTATTATCGGATATTAAAAATTCAATTTCAAAACAAGTTGCCGCTCCTACAGTTTTATAGTATGTAAAGATGATTTCACATGACCTATGCAAAATATCACACTCAATACATGTGTGTCTCTGGGGGGTGCATTGTGCCTTTGATGTATATAAATAATATACCATAACCAAATACTATTACGTACAGTGGAAATCAGGTTGCCAGAGCAGGTCAGTGTGCATGTTCCTCAACGTCTCAGCAGTTACAGGTGAGGTAAAGAAAATAAAAGAGAAAAAGGTCAGTAACAACACTTTAAAGTAACAACACTTTGAATAATTATCTCTTCTAACAATTTTCTCTCAATAAGCACACAACGACTGTCTTTCCAACAAACAGATTGACTCACCCTCACTGTCATCACAATGAAACACGTCCAGAAGAATGTCATGCAAAGCTCCCTGCCTGCCTTCGACTCTCCCTGAACTGCTTCCTTAGCACCCGGTGGAGGGCGCATGCAGGCTACTCTTCAAAAGTTTCACGAAATACTTACCATCATGTTTGGTTACTGTTTAACATTTTGGTTTACTTCATGTAATAAAATAATAACTTCATGGTAAGGCTACTAAAAATGACAAGGCTAAGTAATGTAATGCTAACTAACGTGCTCGCTACTCGTCGCTACTAGCTAGGTAGCTAACTTGACTATGTTCCATGCACAACATGTATATTACCTATGATATTACCTGATATGTCTGATCCAGCGACTCCTGGTCCTTTCATCAGACGGGAAGCGATAGAACGAGCAAGTGGTATGATCACTTTTGTGATTACAACCTGGTACAAAGCACACAGGCATCTTGTAAAAGTGAACCAACCACTTGGAGCATTATCGCCGGTGACATCACTTACGCGACCCAGAATGGGATTTGGGATTTGTAGTCTTTGTAGTCGCGTATTTTTCATAGTCTTATATTTCAACAGTTTTACGACAACATTTGACTTTTTTTACATGGAAATGATTGTTTAAGATTGACAAACATCATATGTGTAGTTCGTGGCACAATTCAAACGGGATCAAAAGATACGTTTTCTCTCTCCATTGAATTCAATGTATAATTTTTCGCTTCCGGGGTCCCATGGACCGGAAGTAGATGGGCGTGACTTCGCCTCTCTATATGGCTCTGGTACGATTGATTTCAGTAGCCACTTGTCTGGACCGAAGACCAGAAACGGTTTTGAAAACTTTTGTCACGTTTTGATCGTCTTCTCAATAGAACATATTTGATAATGTCTTCTGGCCAATCAGAATCAAGATAACGGCGTGGTGTTGTTGCAGGAAGTCCCGACGGAGAATACTTATGCTGTAGTACAGGGGTGCACATAACTGGTACGCAGGTTATGTGCGTAATCTGAAATGCGTACCGTCACTTGTGTCACAAAGCGCATTTGCGTACCGACGTACTTGTGAAGCTTTTCCAGAAGGCGGTTAGATCACCTGGAGAAGGACTTTCGGGCGGCACCAAAGTTGTTCTGGAAAACTGTCCGACACCTCAGGAGGGGGAAGCAGGGAACCATCCAAGCTGTGTACAGTAAGGATGGGACGTTGTTGACCTCAACTGATGGAGTGTTAGGGCGTTGGAAGGAACACTTTGAGGAACTCCTGAACCCGACAACTCCGCCCTCTATGTTAGAGGCAGAGCTGGAGTATGACGGGGGATCAACACCAATCTCCCGGGGGGAGGTCACTGAGGTCGTCAAACAACTCCACAGTGGTAAAGCCCCGGGGGTGGATGAGATCCGCCCGGAAATGCTGAAGGCTCTGGGTGTTGAGGGACTGTCATGGTTGACACGTCTCATCAACGTTGCGTGGAAGTCGGAAACAGTACCGAAGGAGTGGCAGACCGGGGTGGTGGTTCCCCTTTTTAAAAAGGGGGATCAGAGGGTGTGTGCCAATTACAGAGGCATCACACTACTCAGCCTCCCCGGGAAAGTTTACTCTAAGGTACTCGAAAGGAGGGTCAGGCCGATTGTCGAACCTCAGATTGAGGAGGAACAATGCGGATTCCGTCCTGGTCGTGGAACGACGGATCAGCTTTTTACTCTCGCAAGGATCCTGGAGGGGGCCTGGGAGTACGCTTATCCGGTCTACATGTGTTTTGTAGACTTGGAGAAGGCGTATGACCGAGTTCCCAGGGAGTTACTGTGGGAGGTGCTGCGGGAGTATGGGGTGAGGGGGTCTCTACTCAGGGCCATCCAATCTCTGTACTCCCAAAGCGAGAGCTGTGTCTCCTCGGCAGTAAGTCGGACCCATTTCCGGTGAGGGTTGGCCTCCGCCAGGGCTGCGCTTTGTCACCAATCCTGTTTGTAATATACATGGATCGGATTTCGAGGCGTAGTCATGGGGGAGGGGGTCTGCAGTTCGGTGGACTAAGGATTGCACCACTGCTTTTTGCAGATGATGTGGTTCTAATGGCTTCATTGGTCTGCGACCTTCAGCACTCACTGGATCGGTTCGCAACCGAGTGTGAAGCGGCTGGGATGAGGATCAGCACCTCCAAATCTGAGGCCATGGTTCTCAGCAGGAAACCGATGGACTGTCCACTTCAAGTAGGGAATGAGTCCTTACCCCAAGTGAAGGAGTTCAAGTATCTCGGGGTCTTGTTCTCGAGTGAGGGAACAATAGAGCGTGAGATGGGCCGGAGAATCGGAGCAGCGGGAGCGGTACTGCAGTCGCTTTACCGCACCGTTGTGACGAAAAGGGAGCTGAGCCAGAAGGCAAAGCTATCTGTCTACCGGGCCATTTTCGTTCCTACCCTCACCTATGGTCATGAAGGATGGGTCATGACCGAAAGAACGAGATCGCGGATACAAGCGGCCGAGATGGGTTTTCTCCGCAGGGTGGCTGGTGTCTCCCTTAGGGATAAGGTGAGAAGTTCGGTCATCAGGGAGGGACTCGGAGTTGAGCCGCTCCTCCTTCGCGTCGAAAGGAGCCAGTTGAGGTGGTTCGGGCACCTAGTTAGGATGCCACCTGGGCGTCTCCCTAGGGAGGTGTTCCAGGCACGTCCAGCTGGGAAGAGACCAAGGGGTAGACCTAGGACCAGGTGGAGGGATTATATCTCTTCGCTGGCCTGGGAGCGCCTTGGGATCCCCCAGTCAGAGCTGGTTGATGTCGCCAGGGAAAAGAAAGTTTGGGGCTCTCTGCTGGAACTGCTACCCCCGCGACCCGACCACGGATAAGCGGGAGAAGATGGATGGATGGATGGATGGTTAGATCACCGGACGACAGGGCGTGCACAGACAGGGCTGTTAACGTCGGTCTGTACAACGGAATTGTGCCAAAACTACGCCAACCGGCTGCGGAGGGAGACTCCCCCCCTTCACTGGAGAACTGCGCTAAAACAGCTGATCACAAAGTTCACACTCTGTGGTCACGAAGTACTCCACTAGCGCGCCCCCCCGTCGACTTTCCTGAAGTACTCCCCCGTTGATAGAAATCAACACGTAATGAATTAAGACCCCACGGTTTGATGATTGATAGGTGTGTGGGCTATCTTTCATTTTGACACACAGACATTTTTTATAATGTTATAATAAACATACTGTATGTGAAATGGATATATCCGCCTTCTTTCCATTCCCACAACAATATACATAAATAAATGGCATATTTTGGACATAGTTCGAATGGTGATTAATCATGATTAATTCATTTTTAAGCTGTGATTAATCTGATTAAAAATGTTAATCGTTTGACAGCCCTATTCATATTCTTATCAAAGGTAACTCCACCACTGTGTAAACTCTCTGTATGAGTCAAGGGTCATGGTCACTCTCGTGCCCCTCACAATGTTTTTATTGCAACTGTGTCACAGGACGACCTGTTTTACAGCCTCAAGCAAAATGGAGTGACTGCGGGTGATCAATTTAGTTATTTAGCCTTTGTGCGCACCCTTTTGTAAAAAGATAGCACAAATAGCAAAACACCACAAGAGGCTCTTGGATCCAGCAATGTTTGTTTCATGCCTCAGTAAAAGTGTTATCCAGAGCTAATGCTGATGGTTTTGCCATCCCCAGAGATTTGGGGTATATTATCACTATACTGTATAGGCCTACTACGGTGTATACAGTGGTATACAGTCTAATTTAAATGTAAAGTATTAATGTGCATATAGTTAAATTCTTACTTAAAATGCTGCTTACTAAATCTGAATATGAATCAGATTGATTGATTGATTGATTGAAAAGTTTATTAACAGCTTGTATATTGGGTACAGTACAGTACAGCTCAAAACATATAATTGTTAAGGCCGCGGGGATGCAGAGAAAGACTTTCGTCTTGTTTACATCAGGGTCCCCCATTTCCAATTCATCATATCATTTAAGACATATAAGACATATTTGACATACAGATGGCTTATTTACAATTTACATACAGGTGGTTTTTTACATACAGATTGCTTATTTACAATTTTCATTTTAGATTTCGTTCTAATACATCCTAACCGGACATTTAAGACATACCAAGTCTACAGATATACAGTTAGTAACAGAGTCTAAAATGCGAGTATATACATAGATGGGGGGGGGGGGGGGGGGGGGAAGCTGTCCATTGAACGACAGGTTGAGATTTGTCAGAAACTGTAGCCTACAATAATTAGCTTGAACTGGTTTGACAGGAGCCTCAGAAACACATCCATCGTTCCAGTGAAGACAGGGCGGGGCTTATTTATTTCAAAAACAAGTGAGATATTGTTGTCCCTGCACAACCGGTCCTAGACTATGAGAGTATGAGGAAGCATTGTCTTCTCTAGAAATCTGACATTGAAACATCTTTCTTCTCTGGATCATTACTAAAACTGAGATTTGTGGTAAGCGGTTAAACTCGTAGCATTTGTTTCGACGCTGTTTTTGTTCTGCAAGCCGGCGAATTCACGAGCAAAACGACTTGAGACTGATGTTTTCTGGTGTTAATGAAAGTGCGTGTTTGCAAGTGGTTATTTCTTTGAGTATTCTTTATTTCGTGTCGCTTGACATGCGTTAGAAGAACAGTAAGGTAAGGGTATTACACACTGAGAATCTCACATTCTTCTAGCTAAAGACTACACTATGACTTTTTCAGGACATTTTCAATTGCAGAAAATACTATGACTTTTGGTTTAAAAAACTATTTCAGAACAAATATACTGGGACTTTTTTGACAGTTTGTCATTTTTTATAAAATGTTCACCACATATACACCTGTTTTTTATGACATACTAGCTACAACTGTGTCAATATTTTTTTTCCAGCTTAGAGATGTTTGCCTCAGCCACCAGAAACTTTGTGGAGGAGGTGGATCCTCGAGGTTTGCTGATCCCAGTGTCCAGCCTGAACGACACCATTGACCTCCTCACGTTGGTGGTGAAGCATAAGCGTTTCTGGTTCTGGCAGAAACCAAAGTATCAGCCTACTGATTTTAATTTCAATGATATACTAACAGGAGACACACATATAACGCCTGGTAAACAGCATACCTCTTACTTGATTCATAATTGTTTTAATGATCACAGAACACCTAAATGTTTCATTGTTCACACAGGTGTCACTGAGTCAGACTTCATCACATACAATGGGATATACGGTGACAACATTCAGGGTTATGTAGAAATATCAGCAAACTCAGCCAATGCCAATGCCAATTTGAACCTGGAGGGTAAAGAGTCATCCAAACTCCAGTCCTCCTTTGGAAGTTTGAAGAAGGAGGAAGTGGATGTGAAAAAACTGCTGTGTGACTCCAAAACCAGGTTCATTTCCCCCATCTGTTTCTACTGTCCTCTCTTAAATGGGTTTGAAAGAAAAACACTGTAAATATGACATCTGACATGCAGTGTGTTAAAGATCTGGGAGCAGGAATGAACTTTGTACTACCATAAAGTTGCACGCAACAGGTGTTTCAGTTCAAGATTAACACCAGTTATTTGTTTAGGATAAGTAGGTGTTTTATCAGTTTCCCAGTACAAAGAACGTTCCCTGTAAAACATTACAGTATATATTTTTTAATTCAACATTTCAGGGTCCTGGATATGTCCCATTCCCTGATCCAGCAGGTGAAGGAGAAGCAGAGGCGGGTGTTTGGGATTGTGAAGGAGCGGATTGTGACCACTCAGCCCTGTTCGGTCATAGAGGAGGTGCAGCAGGGAGCTCAGTGTGCAGGAGGACTGAGCATCTGTGGGCCGCAGAGCTTAAAGGTACACTCATAAACTCATTCTTATGATAGTGATTGCACAAATCATTCTTTAACTGTAATATAATTAACATGATATTCCAGCAATGTGTGTTTTTTTTTTTTTCCAGAAAGACTGAAAGCCTGTTTGTACTGTTTGCACAATGTTTATCTTTATTGTGCCAACGCCCTCAGTTAATGCCAGCTTACTTGTGCGTTGGGATTATTTATAATCCTGTAATGGGGAAGATAAATTGTTTTTCTAGTTAAGAGGAACAGACATGTTTGCCATTCACACTGGAAATTCTCTGTTGGTGGAAAATTGATTTTCTCTTCCTCTTTCATAATTTGGTTCTTCTTCTTACTGTTGCTAAAAACGGAAAGGAAGAAAAAGCCTTCTCTCTTTGATAGAGAGAGACACATCAAAGCATTTACTGTTTATGTCCTAGATTGATGAAAATGTATCTGATATAAAATGTAATTGTAGCAACATTCTTATTTCCACATCTTTTGGTATTAAATACCCCAGAAAATATCCCTTGCATCACCAACAAGTATTTCTTGTTTTAGAGTGGATATTTCCTTAAAGTAGTATGAGTTTTGTTAAAATGTTATGCGTTTGGACTCTGCAGGTGTCGTTGAAAGAGAATGTGAGCTTGAATAAAGACAGTAACATCAACATGGAGATTCCCATCCATACTACCATCGCCTATGCTCTCATAGAGCTAGAAATCAAACAGAATGGACGTTATGGTGAGCAATAATTCACACACATCTGAATAGACTCTTATCATTATTACATTTCACATTGGGTTGTTTGAAATGTAACATGTTGTATTTTCCACAGGGCTGTGTCTGATGTCAGACATCAATGGGGGTTTTGAAGCCGATGGCTCTGGAGACTCTAACCACCTTAGACAAGGTAAATTACTGTTTTCTTCTCTGTAGCCATAATACATGTGACAAAGATGATTGTTGCAGCAGACGACGTGTTCAAAAATGCATGTTGCTTGCTATGAAGTCACAAAGGGCCTCCGGAGATTGAAAGCCTCCTGTCTGATGGTTATGGTGTTGTAACTGTTCAGCATGTGCTTTGACCTATATATTAAATGCTCTCTGTGGATGTTTTTGCTTTACATTTCTTAATCCAATGTCCACTTTGTTTTGTGTTCAGAGCTGGAGGAACTGAATGAACATTTCCAGGTCCTTTCTGATCTTCCTGCCACCACAAGGTCAACTCTGTTCCTCCAAATCACAAAGGTTATGAGTGACCCAGGGGCCGTCAGTGTACTGCAGAATGTGGTAGGTGGGGACAGAGAGGTTATGGAGTAGCTAGCATTAGCAACTTCTGTTACATTGTTGCATTTTTTTAATCTGATTGTCTTCTGGTGTTTCAGCTGGACAATATGTGCCAGGATGAGAAACCTGCTCTGGGTGATATGACAGCGACAGAGGCCCAGAAACAGAACATCCAAGCCATTCTGGAGCTTTTGGAGCAGGCTGTTGAAGAGTCCCCACAAGTCCTTCCAGCCCTTTACCTTGTCACTTACGCCATTGATGGTGAGAAAGTTGTGCTCTGTGTAGCCTTCATTACTAAAGAGAAATGTAGCTTGAAGTCCTCAAGCTCTCAAAAAAAACGTTCTGTTTTTATCCTGTAACGCCTGTAACTTTGTCTTTCAGAGCTTACAAATGATTGTCTTGCTTTCTTGGGAATGTGCTGCAGCCTCTCATTGTTACAGTCTCTGGAGCTACTGGTTAGTAAAGCCAGTTTTTATAACTAAGAACAGAACACAAAATGTTATGGGAGGTCTTCTCTTTTGAATTATGCATCAAATTGATTTAGTTTCCTGTTATCTTTTTGTCACACCTCTTCCAGATTCAGTGTGCATCGGGGAAGGGGGAGTTGCCTCTAAACAGCGCAGGCCTAGCTGCACTGACAGAAGACAACTTTGAAAAGACTGAACATCTGTTTGCCGCCTCCAATGTGTCCCTGAAGAGAGACGGGGACACAGTGAAGACAGAAATAAAACCCCAGCCAGGACAGCTCCCTCTGGTCCTGTGTATCGCCGTCAGAGGTCTCTTCTCCTTGGCCCGCTGTGATTAACTAAAGACCTTTATATCCACCGGAAGCTAACACTACACTGGACAGAGGTTAGCAAGTAGATTAGTCAGTGTTTATTCCCCTCTTGTTGGTGCTGTAGAACTTCCACATTTAATATAATGTTCTAAATATAACGGTGCCAAAACAATTAGGCATGTAAAGCTTTAGTTCATCTATGACACATCTTCAATTTGACAATCAATTACTTGAGGTCGTGGATTGTCAAAAAAACAAGCATTTTGAAGACATTATCCTGATTGTAGCCCTGATTTTAACATGGAAAAAAACCAATTAACTACTTTTAAAATGTTTCATTTTGACAATATTACTTATGACACAAGGGATGGTACCCTACAAGTTGTGCGTTACTAAGTTAGCCCACACTTTCAAACGAAACACTTGTGATTCAGCAATGTGTATGTTATGTACAGTATAATATTCAGATAGAAACAAAGGGTTTGATGACAGGAACCTGGATTTGGCATCTTATTTGGGGTAATGTCACTTAGGTCAATTCCTAGTATTTTATAGAAGCATTGCCTTTCAGTGTTCTCATCTAACCACGTTTCCTGTATGTTGAATTGCCATTGTCTTGAATATGTTATGCTGGGATCAATATCATGTCTCCGTCCTTGAGGCCGACCAAATCTTGATCTGAAACTTGTTCTCAAAATTCTTATAAGCTTTAGATTTTTTATGTATTTTTTTTTTTATCTGCTCCTTGATCTCACGGCGAATTGTAAGTGGCTACTGCCTGAGATCGCATGCTGTGTTTTTATTAAATGTGCCAACTTCTAGGACTGTCTTAGGGAAGATGGCATTTAGATGCGCAGCTCCTCTGTCTTGGTCTGCAATTGAAATGGAAACTGAGCAATCTGGTTCCACTAAATGTTTTTAAAGCTCGGTTGGATGCTACTCAATCGGAAGCTGTTGGTACCTGTTCATGTGGATAGTTATGTAAATTGTAAATCCCTGTAATGATGCTGTATGATGTCCTTTTGTTGTTCTGTTTATGTTTTTTATGTTTCATGTGGAACCTACTTGAGCAGGTCTCCCTTGAAAAAGAGATCAATGATCTCAATGGGATACACCTGGATAAATAAAGGTTTGAAATTAAATGTAACATCTTTTCACTTGGTTTAAACGTTCCTTTTTAATTGTGAAGCATTGTTTAAGGTTTTTACAATTTAGAAAGATTTATACTTACTTTTTGTATTTTTGCATGTTTATCTTTATTGTGCCAACATTCAAAACAGAAAATTGTAAAAACTCATCTTGATTTTTGTGTTTTTCTTTTTTCCTGTACCACATACCAACACATGCTGAACACAATACATTTGTCAATGAGCAAAAACAAAAACCCAAAGCAGATCGTAAGAAAAACACCAGTTATTTATTTGACATTTGAAAATACATCTTATGAATTCTTGTAAAATATACCTTTTTTAAGTAAATAGGAACTTTATTTAAAACGGTTAAGTTTTAGTAATATCACATCAACAGGGATGGTTCTCTGAGTTGCAGCACCCTGTTCAAGAGTCCTGTGGAAAGTGTTTCTTTCAAACAAAGACAGCACCGGTTTAACAGTCAGAAATATTTACGTGATCTAGATGTCTGACAATCAAACAACATAATTAATGTAATCTGTTGTGCTAGTATAAGGGAAATAATTGGTTACACTACATAATTACCTTTCCTTCTGTACAACATCAAACAGTGACTGGCATGACATTTCCATGTATTAGTAACTGCTGAGACTGCAGAGCATAGATGTAGCCTTGAGGAGGAAAAAGGTCTCACAAATATGCCACTATCGACATGAATGAGATGAAGTACTGGAGACATGTGCACTGTAAACTGAAACACTGAGGTATTGTTAGCTCTCCTCATTTTTGCGGAATAAATATTTATCTTACAGACAGATGTAAAATTAAAACAGGACATGACAGAAAATTGCATTTGCTTCTAAAAACATCCTGACACAAGGGCCAATACTTTCTTACAATCCACATGAATAGAAAGGATTCTTTAAAAGTTTTTGCCAATAAATAAGTACACTTCCTGTGTGTTCTGCGTTGCATAGCGTGTAAGAAAGGAATCTGAAAATTCAGATCAAGGTGACTGATGCAGCTTTGAGCGAGACCCATATACACAAAGGTCTGATGTCCAACTCTTTCTCTGTGTGTGCAGTACAGTGTTGAATCCTCCGTCCAATCGGGTGTCGCCCTTTCCTTCCTAGCCTGGCAGCTGGTACAGCCGTGTGTGTCCAATAGGCTGAAGAACATCAGTAGACCCAGCTGACTGGAACCCACTGCGGCTCTATGAATAATCGCTCTACCACCTCCTGCAGTTGGTCAAAGGCCTTGTCCAGATTGTCATTGACAATAGTCAGGTCAAAGTAGTGGCTGTACGCACGACGGATCCTGGCACTCTCGTCCACAGTCTTCTTCAAATCGTTCTCCTGTTATGGAGAGAGATACTGCCCATTAGGATGGTGGAAGCAACAACCATTTCATAAGTTAGAACCTCGAAAATCTTTTAACTATTTAAGAATCTTAAATTCTCTGAAGACGTACCGTGAGTAGTTTGGTTGTAAGTCCAGCATCTATCACAGCTTTGTGCATAGCTCTTAGTGTGTCCAGTTCTGGAGCAGCGATAAACACCACAAACGGCATGAACTCAGCAGTCTTCAACACTTTCAAAGCCTGGGCAGAAGATATGATGTCACAACCAAAGATTTAGGGGAGAAGAAAACTACGCGTTGAAGGTTTGTGCCTTTGACTCACCTGAGGGTTGACGTCCAGGATGCAGGTACGGCCTGCATTCACCACTTCATGGATAGAGTCGATCTTGGTGCCATAAAGGTTGGCATCGTACTCGCCATGCTCCAGGTAACGACTCTCTTTGATGTCCTTCTCCATCTGTTCCCGCATCACAAAGCAGTAGTTCTGGCCGTCCATCTCCTCTTCCCTCGGACACCGTGATGTGACTGCAGATAAATAGGTGACGAGAGGTGTTTCATGTACCCTGTTAGGAAAATGTTGCTGCAGATATTCAATCACCTCAGCTGTCCGTCTCACACTCACAGGGTACAGTGGTTCCATATCGCAGAGGGTTCAGGACAATAAGTCTGTTTTTCAGGCTGCGCCTCCCCACTCCCTGGGCTCCGATCAGAACAAGCGTTTTCCTCTGAAACGGCGGCATCTTGGCCACTTCCTCGTAGATCTGCAGCTCATAACGGTCAAATTCTGTTCAAGGAAATTCACAGGCTGGATGAATACAGTAATGTGCGCTTACAGTTAAAACAGTTTAAACTTCTCACACAATCTCTTATATGTATGAAAATTTAATATAGCAGTGCACACCTGCATTCTTCGACGTGAGGTACATCATTTTCTTCTTCTTTTTCTTTGCAGTTCCACAGAGCATCCCTAGGAGAAATGTTAAAAAGCATCAGATCGCCACTTGGAGGTGCCAGAGTCTCCTGACTTTCATAACTTAACAAGAAAGCGCAGCAGAGAGCAAGGTGTGAATGAGTTAGCATGTGTGAACATAAACTGACCTGTACCAGAAGTGTCCAGGTCTCTTCTTACGAAAGCTTTTCTCTTCTCCTCTAAGAACTGACTAGGGATGAGACCAGTGGCACCACCAACCACTTTGCATGCCTATGTGGGAATAAAAAGTAGTTTAAAGATAGTTTGAACATTTCACAAAGTAAAGAAAAACAATGCCTTCATATCTTTAGCCACAGTCAATTCCTATGTGTATTCTAAACACGGTTACATATATCGTGAACATAGACAAAAGACAAAGGGATGTCACAGATATCATTTCAGATAATGCCGCATTCATTCAATAAGCAACTAGGGTTTTTCTTTTAGATATTCAATCACATTTCTAACTAGCTGTCCAGCTTTCGTCAAAGCAGCACTGTCCTTCAGTGCAGAGCGAAACGTGTCCACTCACCTGCCACCAGTTGGAGTCCTCCTTGTTGACGACCTGAAGGATGTCTCCCTTGGAAAATGCAAGGCCTGCCTCTTTACAGGGGATCAAGTTGTCTGTGGCCGGATTATAGTTGAAGTGGGGCTTCAGATAAATCTGTGAACAAGATATCAGACTATTACATCGTAAAGAGAGCATTCACAACAGGATCGAGCAATACCTTCTATCACTTTTTAAATATATTGTCACATGGGGCTGGACAATGTAGATTTAAAAAAAGTGTATTTTTACACCTAAGTAACTCCATTATTAACAGTCTGGCAGCTCTTTATTTAAACTAATGTTATCATAACAATCACGAGGGCATGTCCACTTCCTTTTCTCCCCCCTTTATAATCCTCATGTTGGATTCGGCAGTTATATTGCAAGCTTTCAAGTTCTCTTTACCTAACTGCCTTATGTGTGTTTACACAAAGCTGTTCTCCGCACATGTTTAAACTTTTTTTTTTAAGACTCTGTGTCAGGTTTTATTTTCAATAGATGTTCTCACCTGTTGTCCATTTCTACTTTGTTACTTCTTCTATGAATGCTTAAAGTCGGAAAGGCTGAATAAGGGGGATGAACAAAAGTGACCAGTCTGAGGAGTTGGAATGTTTTAACCATGCTCAATGGCACGAGCAAAGTGAACTCGTTGACAGATTCATCGTGTCTATTACTGAAGTGAATTTGTACTACAGGGCCAATTACAAGTGAAAACACTTAGCATAACTGAAAACCAACGTGCACAAACAGTGGGATTAGATCATTGGATCCTCCCGGCACAAAGGTCAGTGTCTGACATAACCCTACATGCTGCTCCTCGGTGTCAGCTGCTGTGTGTGCCTGTTACTGTAAGAACGGGGGTGTGGGGCTCCAGTGAATGGAGTGGTGTGTGTCCCAGATAGTGTGAAGAGTGTTATTAATAGACCCTTACTGGGCTCAATTTTCAGAAGCCTGGCATTTTGAGATCACCCAGGTCAGGCAGCTCTCCTCCAATCCCTGAAAAGGTACAGTACGACCCCTGATAGCCTGGCACACCTGACTTACGCATCCTGTACCACACTGATCTCAGGATTTCTCTAAAAGAACTCCTGAATCGAAACACCTGGCATTCAATTCAGATTTCCCAGGATTCTTAGTTCCCACAGGTAAAACCCTGGATGGAAAAAAGCCTCCTTTTCTTCACCCACCTGTGGGGGGGCCGGTGTGTCTCTGTAGCTAGGCAGGACCTTGAGAGTGATGCTCCCACTGCAGACCCCTAACAGCTCCTGGAGTTGATGGGGGTCCCGACCGACCTCGTGACCGTTCACCTCGCGGATAATGTCCCCAGTGTGCAGCATGCCCTGCCTGTCAATCGAGCTGCCGTGCAGGATCCGTGCGATCACCATCTCTCCCCGCTCCACGCGGAACGTCACCCCCTGAAAGAGAGTCATCAAACATCCGCACATCATAAATCATGCTGGAGGTCCGTTTCATAGCATGGTCTGTCCGGTCACTGTGAAAGAAGCAGCTCATGTCGAGTTACTTTATAAAACCGAGTCACCCTGTTCTAACAGATGGTCAATAGAAGAGATACAACACATAGCTCCTCTGCAGAGCTGTGGTTGATGTAAATGCCTGGCTTACTCACCAGTGGTTCCCCAGCTTTCTTCTGAATGCCAATCATCCTGACAGCATCAGCTGGCATGAGTGAACTCGTCATCAACGCATTGCTGTTCACCGCAGCGGTGGGCATTTCATAACACTTTGCAGCAACTTTGTCATGAGCCTCTATCAAAGACTGTGGCAGAAAAAAGTAGAACAGGGGAAAAACATTACAGACAGA